CAGTGGTTTACCCCCAACAATGGCTTTCCCCACAACTGGGCGACTGTCCTGGCCACAATCGCTACTGTTACCAGAGGAGCTCCCATTCCAGGCCCTGTACAACAGGAGATAACTGATAAATGGAGTAGTGTGGAAAAATGCACAGTGTATTAAAGGCAAGTAATAAATATTCACCTTTAGTGTACGCCACACAGTCAATATCTGCAGCTTTCAGCCCTGCTTCATCTAGTGCCTCCTGGAGCACAGTGAGAATCACACTACGATGGTGTTTGGCTGTCTCACCAGGTAGGAACCCTGAGAAGATCATGAGAGAGCAATATAAAAATAGTACTATGAAAGCATGGTGACTTTTTATATGTAAAGATGACACTGTCCATTAGAAGTAATGATAGATCAGATGAGCTCACCTTGGCCAGGAGGGGTGATGTAAGTGCGCCTGGGGTTTGACAGAACTTCCCCATCTCTGATGATACCCACACCAATTTTATTAGCACTGCCCTCAAATCCAATCACCACAGTCATGGTTTCTGCAGGGAGAATGAAACAGGAACCATTTGATGACAATACTCAAAATACTGCAACAGAATTACACAATGTCTACCGTTTTCCATGTTAATACATTATGACATTAAAATGTCAAGTTTAATTTAACAATTAAATGAAAATAAATCTATTATGTCTTGCTGTAAAGAGATCTGCGACACATGCTGCTGGTTTAAACAACCTGATCATTAATAACATTCATAGATTAAATTATTAAATTGTCGTGTGGGATTGTCATGTTTTGGGTTAATTATAATAATATATTTTATATAATATATATTATAAATATATATATTTGTCTTGTTTTAGCTCTTATTTTCCGCTGCTTCTCCACTCTTACCGCACACTCGCTGGTTGTAGGACCATAACAACAGCTAATGTGGCTTATACTAAATGCCTGGGTGAAATTGATGGGATTATTCGTGTTAACAAATTGTTAAAGTTATAGAAATATATTTTAAAGTTAATATCTGACAATAATTTGATATACAAATGATAATTTGTTTTTAATAAAAACGTTTTTAAACACCACGTTTAGTCAGGCAATAACTCGGACACCTCTTAAAGGGGAAAGATGCGCCTCATGCACACTCGCTGCAGCGTCGGCTTCCGTCAGTGCAGGGCAGCTCATAGTTCTGCACAGATTGAGGTTTCACTATAAACTCAGCTAACGTGTTAGGTAAGAAACAGCTGTTTGTATATAATAAAATGCATATTATGCAAATTTCTATCTAATTGAGTTTTCAACGCGGTCAATACAAATGTGTCTATTATAAACGCAGAGCACGCGAGCCATTTGTTCTATTGTTTCATTCATTCAGGCCGCACTTTTGGACAACTTACAGACTTGGTTAACATATATAAATGTATTATTCCTGCATACTGCAAGCACATGTGTTTTGGTTTATACAGTTCACGCATTTTATGTAAGCGATTTAATCACTTGTGTGCGAGCTAAATAAGTTAAACAGCCTTTGTTTAGATGTTTGCAGCGCCCGAAGCATTGAACATTCACACATTCCATTGCGCATGTCCTCTCTTGTAGGTGTTCGTGTGTGTGGTCTTAAAACAACTGTAAGCATGCCTAAAAGAGCCAAGAAGAATGAGGAAGCTGTGGATGGGGAGACTGGCAATGGAGCTGGTACAGTGTTTTAATACTTAAAAAAAAAAAAAGGTTTGCATCCTCACAGACTGCATCAGATAACACTGAGCTTTCTGTCACAGAACCTGCAAAGAAAGAGAAAAAGGGGAAAGAGCCAGAGGCTCCGATTCTGTACGAAGATCCTCCTGATAAGATGACCAGTAAAGATGGCCGTGCGGCCAACATGAAGATCACCTCCTGGAATGTGGACGGTCTTCGTGCATGGGTCAAAAAGAAAGGCCTTGATGTGAGAATTCAACATACAATACATCGATTGTGTTTTACATGTACTGCATGGTCCTTCTTGAACAGTTTGACCAGTCTCTGTGTCTTTATTTAGTATTTATGTGTGGGTCAGATTGGTAGAGGTACGAACCCTTTTCCACTCTTTTGTTGTTGTCTGTTCGCAGTGGGTGCGTAAGGAGGATCCAGACGTGATTTGTCTGCAGGAAACAAAGTGTGCTGAGAAAGCCCTGCCATCTGAGATCACTGACATGCCTGAGTATCCGCACAAGTACTGGGCTGCATCAGAGGGTAAGGAAGGTTACAGCGGAGTGGCCATGCTCTGCAAGTCTGAACCGCTCAATGTCACCTACGGTATTGGTAAGTGTATTTATACAGATTTCAATTTTGTATGACCCATATGAATTGCATATTCTCCATGGCTGTGAGATTGTTTTGCTTATAGTGTGAGTTTGAAAACACAATGCACACAACCATCTTTCCAAATTTGTAATGAGAATTGTTTATAAATCTTTTGACAGCAGGTCTCCCTAAAATAAAAGCACTATGGTTTAATGTTTTAAATGTTTGATTATTATTTTTTATCATTTAATTTAATTATAATAATCTTATTGATATTATTATTACTAGTAGTAGTAAATGCTTGTTTTATTTTACAGTACAATAGTAGTATTGCAAGTCATGTATTTCTTTGATTTCATTCTTGTAATTTAAATATTAATAACAGCTGTAGTAGCAATACAATAATAATAGTAGTAGTAGTATTAAATACTTTTTGTGATAGTAGTGTATTCCTTTTTTGATTTAATTCTTAATTTAAATACTACTACTGCTAATAATAGTGTTATTATTAAAATATGGCCATATTGAATGAAAAATTATTTTTGTAATGTTTATCAGTTATTATTATTGTTGTTATTTTTTTTATTTTTCAGTACAATAGTAATATTTCTTCATTGATTTAATTCTTATTTAAATAATATTATTGTTATTATTACAGTCATATTGAATTGATTTGTTCTGTTCATCAGTTGCTGTTATTTTTTTATGGACACGCACCGCAATAAAAATATAAAACATGAAAATATATTTGATTTTAAATATCATCAAATTTTTTTTCCCTCTGTCCAAAATCCAAATCTTGAATTTTCTGGAAGTTTAAAATCTCTTTCTGCTTCAATATAGGTAAAGAGGAACATGATAAAGAGGGCCGAGTTATCACTGCTGAGTTTCCGTCTTTCTTCCTGGTCACGGCATATGTGCCCAATGCCAGCCGTGGTCTGGTGCGGCTCGACTACCGCAAGACCTGGGACGTGGATTTCCGTGCCTACCTGAGCGACTTGGACAAGCGCAAGCCGCTGGTGCTGTGTGGAGATCTGAATGTGGCCCACCAAGAGATTGATCTCAAAAACCCCAAGGGTAACCGCAAGAACGCAGGCTTCACCCCAGAGGAACGTGAGGGCTTCACCGAACTTCTCGAGGCCGGTTTTACCGACAGTTTTCGGGCGCTGTATCCAGAACAAGCCAATGCCTACACCTTCTGGACCTACATGATGAACGCACGAGCCAAAAACGTCGGCTGGCGTTTGGACTACTTTTTGCTGTCGTCTGCCTTACTCCCGGGTCTATGTGACAGCAAGATCCGAAATACGGCCATGGGAAGTGACCACTGTCCTATTACCCTGTATTTGGCAGTGTAGATCAGGTTTCAACCTCTTCAGTTCCATATATATCTGCATAGACACAGAAGGGTCTAGTCCTGTTAGTCCTAGATTAGTATTTCCTCTCTATAAACCAAATAGAGGTCCACATATAGGAATATGTGTGGTGCAGACACGTATTGAAAGAAATTGTAGTTAAGTTGTTTTGTAGTTTTGCAGCTTCGGTTAAGTCTGCTGTTATCGGTCACCTGAAATCAGGTTTTGACACTAAAATATCACAAAAAAATAATTAATTTGAGCTCTCATCCCATTTTATATTTGCAGTGTTTAAAAGAATCGCAGACTGTTATCTAAATGACAAAACCTGCCAAACTACTATAATAAACATTGTCTCAGTGTTGATTATAGCTAAATGTTTTGAAGCTTGTAAAATACCTTGACCTGCAAAGATATGTCTGATTTGAAGTTATAGTTCTTTGGATTTTGTCTTTGGTGCTATTTTAACCTTTGGATTCTACAGTACTCTCCATTTAATGATGTTAGTGGTAGTTAAATGTTATATATGCCACATATTAGTTTCAAAAGACCAATGATTGTGCTTATTTGCTTTTTTCCCCCATTGTCTGTCTGTCTGCAGCCATTTTTCAGGTTTTGAAATAAAGTAGATTATAAAAAAAGAAGTAACTTAGCTCTGGTCTTTTTTTTCTATTTTTTTTTACACCATATAATTCTTAGTAACAAACATGTTTTAAGTATATACAATGGTTAAATTATTAATGTACAAATGAAAATGAAGCTTATGTTTTTATGTATATTAAATGCTTTTGTACACATTTTAAAAGAAGCAGGTGAAAAACGGTTTCGTCTGTAACGATAACCTGATACTATTGTCCAAACTGCTCATAAGAAGTACGAAAATGCTAGACAATAATCTTTTCATTACCTTTATTTTACATTTAAATAAGTATTTCAATAGCAGACAGCGAAATTTTAATGATATGGAGAAGACTCATGAGCGTCATTTACGTAACGCGACGTTCGCCAATGGCAGGCGTTGATATGGTGAGTTATGAATATTAATAAGGACACGTGATCGAAACTCCCGGAAGGTTACCAAAGCAACGTTGGCAGGAACAAATTAAATATTCATGAGCTAAAACCACGGCCACATCCTTCATAATAAAAGTCGACTCAATTTGACCAATTTCTAAAACATGAACATAAATCCATAATTGTGTCTGGACCTCCTGCCCCAGACCAAACCACATTAACAGTTAAACGCATATAAAACAACAGCGAACGGAAAGAATGGTTTGGGAGCTGAGTTTGCGAGATGGTCTCGCAAAACTAGTATAATGTGGTTTTGCACCACCAGAGGGAGAACTCGGATTACACTGTAGACCAGACCAAAGCGGATTAGACCGGAATCTGTGTCGTGCAGTCCAGTGTTTTGAAACGAAGGAAATGGTCAGGTGGAAAGCGCATCGAAATTAAAAAGTGTCCCTTCTAATAGCGCTTTTCTTCTGAATTATGACACACAGCTGTTGAAAATATTAATTTCGAGATTGTTTAAACTTGATCGAAGTTGTAAACAATGGAAGCGCTTTGGACCAAGAAAATCGAAGGTGAGTAATTTGTTTTTTCTGTCTGTTTTCCCCTTTTTATAAAATACAACACAACAAATCAGCATGTTAAAGTGTAAGCAATTTAATGAATTCAAGTGATTTTCATTTGCACGATTATCACGTAACTTCCTTTTTAAATGAAAGCACATCTGATGTTCTAATAATGTATTTTGATTCATTTCAATTTTAAGGATTTTCAAAAACAAAATGCAATTACAAGATATTCAAATCCAGACTATAAGGTCAAAGCTGTTTAGTATGAAAAGCATATGCTGCTTCTCATTGCATGTGTTATCTATTTGTCTTGTTTTTAATTATCAGACCCTCTTTCATTGATGGGTTTCATCATTCCACCATCAAGGTTACTGTCTGCAGCCATGTGGCAGGTGACTGAACAGAGACAGGTAAAGCACTATGGGATGCTGGAGGAGTTTGTAACCATGGTGACAGAGACTCTGCCAGAGCTTCTGAATTACAATCAAAGAACTCAGCTGATATTTGGCTTAAGAGCAAGGGTAAGAAACATCACGGTACATGAAAACAGCTAATATTTAGGAACCACCATGTTAAAGATTGGGCTTTCCACGGGATTGTTGGTTTCGGTATTATATCTCTTTATTTTTCACAGCGTCTTTTGGAGTTGTGTCGTGGTAAATATCAGGTTGACCTGGAAGATATTCAGCCTCACCTGGATCGAATCCATGCTCCTCGTGTCATCAGTGCAATCAATGAGGTCAAGTCATGTTTAGAACCCATTTGGAAGTTTTTGAAACATCACATTTGTGCTTGAATAAAAATGTAAGCACATATTTAATAGACTTTATACATTACAGGTGGTTGATGAAGACATGGAGGAATCTGAGGCCTGTTTCTTGGACCTCATTCGGACCCTTATCAGCAACCCTGAAGAGAGAGAGAATTTCTTCCAGGTTACAAACACATAAACATGCTCACAGCATTTGGTTTTTCTGTTTTTGTTTCTGTGCTATGAAATGAATTAACTTTTTCCCCAACCCTGTGTAATTAATAGAACATTTTCCCAGAAGAATACGGCCCCAAGTTTGACAAAAACCTACAGACACTTACGGAAGACTTCCTCTTGCAGTTTGATCGGATGATGTCAGTCCCAGACCTTTCACAGGTATGTCAATAAATATGTAAAGCAACTGAACACTATTATTGTATTACTAATGCTACCGTTGGTCTGGTTGTGTTCCTCAGACCATCTCTTGGCTCAGGACCTGCCCGTCGCTTTTGGAGCAATGCCTTCATTCAGTTTCGGTCCCAAAGCAGATGAAGACTCTTCTTGAACATCACAGAGCTAATGGAAATCTTCAGGACAATGGTAGCAGTTTTTAACCTTAAATTACACCATATCCATGTGAAAAGCTATATTAGATACTTCTATGTTGTGTGAATACAAGATGCAGTTTTGACTCTCTCTGTCCTTGTTTGTTAAGATGGCTTATACAATCAAAATGACAAAAGAACAGTTTCACCAACGAAATCTGAATTACAAAGGGATAGTTTCACTAAGCATAACCATTTGGGAGGTCTTAAATATATAGTTCACCCAAAAATGAAATCCAATCCAAGATGTAGATGAGTTTGTTTCTTCATGGGAACAGATTTGGAGAAATTTTGCATTTCATCACCAATGCATCCTCTGCAGTGAATGGGTGCCGTCAGAATGAGAGTCCAAACAGCTGATTAAAAACATCACAATTATCCACAAGTAATCCACACCACTCCAGTCCATCAGTTAAAGTCTTGAAAAGTGGAAAGCTGTGCGTTTGTTAGAAACACTTCCATTATTATGACGTTTTTAAGTTTAAACCATTGCATCTGGCCAAAATACCAGTCCATAATCTATAATAACATTTCCTAGTTGTCATCATATATAACTATTCTGCAACTTAACCACAACCTAAGTACTCTTCAGCAAAATGGTAACCACAAAAACTTCAACAACAGAAACTCTTTTAAATATGCAACATAAGTACACATAAAAAAAATGCAATTAAAAAGGCGTAAAAAACTATTAATTAACATTTACTTAATTAAACTAGCAGAAAATAACATTATGCTACACAAACACCTTCAATTAATTATTCTCCCCACAAGCATCTGACAAGTGTTTGTAAGGATGATCTTTAATTTGATGTTTAATTAGTCTTTTTGTCTATTTTACTTTCTCTGTTGCAGAGTATGTTCACTCTGCTTATAACAGCTGTACATTTTCATCTCAGTCTCTCCCTCCACTGGTTCGAGCCGTCATTTCCAGCGATCACACAGAATCTGGTGACCCGTCTGAATCAGTAGACGATTTAGATGGTCAAGACAAAGATGAACGCCACACTTCAAAAAACGTGTCTGATCCCGATACGCTCGCCTGGATGGCTAAACAGAGAAAATTCAAAGTAGAGATAGAGGAGAGAGAGGATGAAGAGGATGATGATGATCAGAACTGGCCAATCACAGGTGCCGGATCTAGTAGAAAGATTAACGGTTACGTTGATAGCTCTCTTGGTGAAGAGCTGAATCAGACACACACCAAAAAAACCTCCAAAAAATCCTTTAAAAGGAAAAGAGACGACAGTGCAGACGTGTCCAGAGAGTTCACATTTATTGATCATTTGGGTGCATACACAGGTCAGTTCATTGTAATTATATTTGTTTTGATTACTTACTGTAATATAAGCAACTGAGCAGATTTAAACTCTTTTCTGCTTTATTTACTCAGAAGAGTCTTCCTACCAGACCTCTGATGCTTCAAAAGTCCCTTGGTCAGAGGAGGAAACTCTCTGCCTCATCGAAATATGGGGAAAAGACGGCGTCCAGCGGAGTCTAAAAGACTGTGCTCGCAACCGACACATATTCAACCTCATCTCTAAGAAGATGTTCGAGAGAGGCTTTACCAGAACAGCAGAGCAGTGTCACACCAGGATAAAACGCCTGAAAATGAGCTATCGACAATGCCATGAAAACATGTGAGCTAAATCATAAATGCCGTTTCAGTCAACTTGAAATAGACTTTCTTACTGAATATTATTGGTTTTATTGTTATTATTGGGAAAGTCATTTAATGTTGACTTTAAAGAAATAGGGCCATCAATTTTGCACCAAATAACTTTGTGTATATAGTTAAAAAAGGATCCATCTTTTTAGACAAAACATTAACATGACACATAGTACACATAGAGTCAGTAAGATATATAAATGTGTGTGTATATATATATATATATATATATATTTCTTTATTTTCAAATACTTTTATTCAGCAAGGACACATTAAATGATCAAAAGTGATCAAAAGTTAAGACTGAAAAATATAATGTTACAAATTATTACTGTTTCAAATAAATGCTGTTCTTTTGAACTTTCTATCCATCAAACATCCTTATAAAATGTATCACGGTCGCCACAAAAATATTAAGCAGCACAACTGTTTAAAACATTGATAATAATAAGAAATGTTTCTTGAGCAGCAAAGTAGAATCATTTCTGAAGGATCATGTGACACTGAAGTAATGATGGTGAAAATTCATAACAGCAATAAATTACATTTTAAAATACATTAAAATAGAAATCCTACCAATATTACTATTTTAATCGTATTTGTTATAAATGCAGCCCTACTGACCCCAAACTTTTCAACAGCAGTGTATATGAATCTTTACAATGTGAAACTGTTTTTTTTATTTTTTTATACTAAAGCTGGTTTTCTTTCCTTTAATTGTAAGTGAACTGAATGTGTGTTTGTTTGGCAGTGTGAAAGGAGAGAAACCGGAATGGAAGTTCTATAATGTGCTGGAGAAAATTCTGTGCCGTAAAGAATCTACAGAACAGGAAGACACTATTACTGACGTCAGCATTCCAGAAGAATCCTCAGGACAGCAGGCAGAAGACATTGATTGGGATGTTCTCGGTCACGTCGGACTAGAGGGTACTCGTATTTTCTGGACATATTCTATGAACTATAAAAGACTTGATATATTGTTATTCAAATTTTCATGTACGCCCTCTCAAGGCACCAGGAATATCCCATGGACAGACCAGGAGACGCAAACCCTCATCAGGATCTGGGGAGAGGACAAAACCCAGCGAGAGCTGAGAGGGGTTCTCCAAAACGGACACATCTTTGCCATGATCTCAAAAAAGATGGCCGCTCATAGTTACATCCGAACAGCAGAGCAGTGTCAAAGTAGAGTGAAAAGACTGAAGCTGTGCTTCAAACAGTCTTACGAGAGTAAACAGTGAGTAGCATTTCTTGCATCATTGTCAAAAAAAATTCAAACCCAACAAGCAAACCCATCTGACATGAGAATCTAGTGAATATAATTAATTGCACTGTTGTATTATTTTGAATAACTGAAAGTGCTATTCTTGATTCTTTTTGCAGCACTGAGGGCAAAGAACATGTAGAATTTAAATTCTATAAACATATGGAAAGAATTATGGCTAATGAAGAGCCATGCTCATCACAGATCAAAGAGGAGGACTCAACGGACATTGAATATCAGGTGTACAAGTACCAGAAAATAGGTTTGTTCCTGTCATCCATGTAAACTATTTTGTATTACTCCACTGTACAAAAGTTTGAGCTCAAAATTTTGAAAGAAATTTATTATTTTAATTAGAAAGGATGCATTAAATCAAAAGTGACAGTAAATACATTTATAATGCTACAAAAGATTTCTGTTTCAAATAAATGGGATTCTTATAGACTTCCTGAAAAAAAAATCCTGAAAAAGTCGGTTTCCACAAAAATCTGAAGCAGCACAAGTGTTTTCAACATTGGTAATAATAAGAAATATTTCTTGAGCAGCATATTAGAATGATTTCTGAATGATCATGTGACACTGAGACTGGAGTAATGATGCTGAAAATTCAGCTTTGCATCACAGGAATAAATTGCATTTTAAAATATATTACAATAGAAAACAGTTTTTTTTTAATGGTAATAATATTTCACCGTTTTACAGTATTTTTGATCAAAAACACTACTTTAAAAAATCATACCAACCCCAACAATTTTTTTTATTAAATTGGTCTTCTAGCTATTTCATGTTTCATGTATGGGGTTTCATACATTTTTAAGCATGACATAATTGTCCAAAAGTGTCTAATACTTTTTGGGGTCACTTTGTCATGTCCTCCTATCATCACCCAACACAGAAACAGCAATGAACTGCATGGACGATAGAAAGAAGGTCGCATGGTCCGATGCCGAGACAGTGATTCTCCTCCAGTTATGGGGCAATGAGCAAGTCCAGCAGAACCTTCAACGCTGCCCTCACAATGGACACATCTACTCTGAGATCTCAGAGAAACTGAATGCCCACGGATACCTGCGCTCCGCTGAGCAGTGCCACACCAGAATCAAACGACTCAAAATCAGCTACAGGCAGTGCAGGGACAGCTTGAGGTCAGTGAACATATTCAACGTGTTATGCGTCTTAAAATAAGATTGCAATCACATTAACACATTATTTATGAATATGGCTTGAGCACTAAATATATACTCTTTAATGGTTTCTACATATCATTTCAGTGCATGTTTTTTCTGTGCAGTTCACCTGAAGCTGAACGTGTAGAATTCAAGTTCTATGATCTGATGGAAGATATTTTTCGAAGGAATGCTTCCTCCAAAGTGTCAGGAGATAACGAACCCAACAATAGCATAAAATCAGGTACTTTTATTAAACATCTAGTTAGTGTGCCAGATCTGAAATGTATATTCTTTACTTTACGCTCAGGCCATCCAAGATGTTGATGAGTTTGTTTGTTCATGGAAACATTTGGAGAAATGTAGCATTCCATCACTTGCTCACTAATGGATCCTCTGCAGTGAATGGGTGCCATCAGAATGAGAGTTCAAACAGCTGATAAACACATCACAATAATCTACAAAGCAATCCACACCACTCCAGTCCATCAATTAACATCATGTGAAGCGAAATGCTGCCGTGGAGTGGTGTGGATTACTTGTTGAATATACTCTTTAATGGTTTCTACATATCATTTCAGTGCATGTTTTTTCTGTGCAGTTCACCTGAAGCTGAACGTGTAGAATTCAAGTTCTATGATCTGATGGAAGATATTTTTCGAAGGAATGCTTCCTCCAAAGTGTCAGGAGATAACGAACCCAACAATAGCATAAAATCAGGTACTTTTATTAAACATCTAGTTAGTGTGCCAGATCTGAAATGTGTATTCTTTACTTTACGCTCAGGCCATCCAAGATGTTGATGAGTTTGTTTGTTCATGGAAACATTTGGAGAAATTTAGCATTCCATCACTTGCTCACTAATGGATCCTCTGCAGTGAATGGGTGCCATCAGAATGAGAGTTCAAACAGCTGATAAACACATCACAATAATCTACAAAGCAATCCACACCACTCCAGTCCATCAATTAACATCATGTGAAGCGAAATGCTGCCGTGGAGTGGTGTGGATTACTTGTTGATTATTGTCATGTTTTTATCAGCTGTTTGGACTCTCATTCTGACGGCACCCATTCACTGCAGAGGATCCATTGGTGAGCAAGTGATGTAATGCTACATTTCTCCAAATCTGTCTCATAATACATAAAATAAGGGTTATATATTAGTATATTTGTTTTTGTCAAAAATTCAGCCCAAAAATCATTTTTATAAATTGTAGTAATGAATATTTTTGATACTCCAGTTAAAATAAAGTCTTTCCTTCTGTCAGACTCCCAGGATATCTGCGGCAGTTTAAACCAGACAACATCCTGGTCAGACTCTGAAACTGTAGCTCTAATAGACATATGGGTGGAAGATGAGATGCAGGAAACCCTGAGAGGATCCGACCATAACATCCACCTGTTTACTGATATAGCAGAGAGAATGAACAATCAGGGATTCTTAAAAACACCAGAGCAATGTAGATGGAAAATCAAGAACCTGACAAAGAATTTCCAACAGTGTTACGAAAGGAAAAAGTGAGATTATTTTTGCTTGTTGACACTGGCTTTAACTTTTCATCCACTTTATTTTCTTTTTATCTATTGACCTCAAAAGCGGAGTATTTAAATATTCAAATTTAATATGATAATTATATATATTTTTTTTTTTTCCATCGCAACCCATAGAAATGAAGGGGAGCAGGTGGAGTGGAAGTTCTTCAAACAACTAAATAAAATATTTGAGAAATACCCTCTAGATGATGCCGAAACCACCCTGGCTCAGGAGCCAGAGGCAGTTGGGAGAAAAAAACACTAGCAGGTCTGCAAAAGCACAGAGCTCAGGTGAATCTGAACTGTGATTGTTTTTTTTGTTTTTTTACAAAATTCTGATTTTAAAGGTGTGATTTCCACCAAGAACAGAAAAAATAATGTGCACACATGACGGGCATCAAAATACAAATAGATTTTATTTTAACATAGAAAATGTATCTACATCACCTTTAATGTCAAATGTTAATTCAAATGTACTAGGAAATATATGGTTGAACACATAAAAACACTTGTTGGTAATCAGCCACACTTTGCTACTGCACTTTTCCAGTCTGATTACGCTACACTAGTCTGGAGGGGGAGCGAGACCCATATTCTCCTGGATATCTGGGCTGAGGATTATAAACCACATCTGACTGAGGTACTTTCTGTCATGCGGACTGTGGAGGATGGCAAAAGGACACACACAAACCTTTAATCGGCTGAATTCCAAGCATGAACTTATCACTAAAAAATCCAACACTTCCACTATCAAGCAACAGAAATACAGAACCTTATTTGTTCGAGTTCTCTGTGCATCAAAATACAGCACACTGGCACTGTATTAAGCACATTTCTGTAAATCTGAAAGAATTTGCATAATGGTGCTGTTGCTATGTGGTCTCACATTTTCACAGGGTCAAGTTTAACACTGAACTTTAATTTGTCTCAGCTGCTTGGCGATTTGCCTAGTAAGTTGAGAACTTGCATTAGTCCAGAAGCCAGAGGTGTACTGAATAATATGATCCTTACAACCATGGAACTGACTCAAATAACAGGAATTAGAAGAACGAAGTCTGAACTGAAGGAAAAGTCATTGTAACAAATTATAGAACATAATGGAATAACTGAGGAATTTAGTAAATCTTTTTCTTCCTGGTGCAAAATGATTTCTCCCGACGAGTGCATAATCTTTATAAAAAAATTAATTAAAAAAACCCAGAAATTGGATTTATATTGTATATTTGTATTATAAAAGGAAACAAATTTGTACTACATGGGTAAAAATACTGAAAAGAATTTCCTTTTTGTACATAAGCATTAGCTTTTCAAGTATATTTGCTAGATTTATCAAAATTGAATATATTCATTATACAAATGTAAGTTACTGTTACACAGGATAATGCCAAAGCTCACTGCACAAATCTCAATCTCTTTTTAAGAGTATCCAGTGTGTATTGGCATGAGCCAAATTAAAGATGAATTTCACATCCAGTCCGAATCGGTACAGGATATGTGTGTATAAAAACACACTGCATTATTCAGTGTTGGTGGAAAAGTGGACAATATTTTTGTTACAGTGAGTTTATCCAATATGCTTCTACGTTTTTAAGGTGGACAACAGTTTTTTGAGAGGTTTTAATCTCACATTGCTTTTGTTCTTAGGTATTTTACTGTGCAATAAACAGATTATTTATTGGTTTGTTTGTTGAAATGACTTGTCCAGCATGATTGAGATATCAGTGACTAGGACAACAAGCCTTCTGGATTTAAGTAATTAATTGTTGTAAACCTTAAGGAATAGTTCACCCAAAAATGAAAATTTGCTGAAAATGTACTCGCCCTCAGGCCATCCAAAATGTAGATGAGCGTTTAGTTTTTTTCTTTCATTGGAACCAGTTTGGAGAAATGTAGCGTTGCATCACTTGCTCACCAATGGATCCTCTGCAGTGAATGGGTGCCATCAGAATGAGAGTCTAAACAGCTGATAAAAACATCACAATAATCCACACCACTCCAGTCCATCAATGTCTTGTGAAGCAAAAAATGTGTGTTTGTAAGAAACTAATCCATCAAGACATTTTTAACTTCAATTTGAAATCTAATTTTAAATTTAAAGGCTAAAATAGAAATCCTTTATCCATAATATTACTGTCTCCACTGAAAAAGTAATCTCATCTGAATCAGGAATGTCAAAAATGTCTTTCCAATGAACAAATGTGTTTCCAATGAACAAGCAGATTTTCCATCAAGACACTTATTGATGGACTGGACTGTGGATTATTGAATTATTGTGATGTTTTTATCAGCTGTTTGGACTCTCATTCTGATGGCACCCATTCACTGCAGAGGATCCATTGGGGAGCAAATTTCTCCAAATCGCTTCCAAATTTCTACAAAACTCTACATCTTGGATGGCCTGAGGGTAAATTTTGAACAAACTTTCAATTTCCAGTGAACTATTCCTTTAAACTATGTAAAGTAAGAATTTATAAAGTATTTCCATGTGTAATTTCAATTATGAGTTGCATAAAGCATGGTTTAGAAAACTAAATTATATTACCTTTTAAAGTAATGACTAGATAATCACATGTCAGCTGATCATTATTAAACCGCAAGATCCCTACATTCAATTAAGGGCTTTTGGGTTCTGGTTTAATGCGGCTACGTGTTTGGTCATAGGTACTTCTACGATTTCCTCGTTCGCCCAAGTGAGTTCTCTCATGCTTCTTAAGAGGCCCAGCAAACTTGAAGCTCCTCCCACAATGAGAGCACTGCCAAGGCCGCTCGCCCGTGTGGCTGAGCATGTGGTTCTTCAGGTGAGATGAGTGCTTGTACGTCTTCCCACATCTTTCACAGGTGAACGGCCTCTCGCCTGTGTGCACGCGCTCATGTCTCTTCATGTTCCCGATCTGAGAGAAGGCTTTTCCACAAATCTTACAGCGGAACGGACGTTCTCCGGTGTGTATGCGCAAGTGGCACCTCAGCATCTCCGGTCCCGCAAATGTCTTATTACAAAGGGTACACGGGATCTTGAGTCGGGGTCTCTCATGGTTGCGCTGGTGCTTTTTCAAGTCGAACATATAGACGAAGGACTTGCCGCAGATGGAGCACAGATACTGGCGCTCACCTGCATGATAACCTTTGTGTCTTCGTAGGAGGCTGGCATAGATGAAACTCTTCCCGCATTGGTTACACTGGTACGAGCGCTCCATGGAGTGGTAGCGGACGTGAATGGACAGCTTAAATGCAGTCGGGAAGCTTTTGTCGCAGTGAGGACACTGGTGCAGGTTCTCTGAGGTGTGGCATTCACGGTGAATCTTCAAGTATGAGCCTTGGGAGAAGCTTTTGCCACAGATGGTGCACTTGTATGGTTTCTCACCAGTGTGCACACGGATGTGCTTGATGAGGTCTGCTTTCTTGCGAAAGGTCTTGATGCACTGCATGCATTTGAAAGGTCTGGTGAGGGAGTGCGTTTTGATGTGATTGGTCAAGAAGCTGAGGCACCTGAAGCTTTTACCACAGTCTGAACACTGGAATGGCCGCTCGCCCGTGTGAGTGCGCATGTGATTCCTCAGCAGGCATTCGAAGCGAAACTCTTTGTGACACTCGGGACAGCTGTGTCTTTTCTCCTCCTGCGTTGTCTGGGACTCAGAAGGAGTGGCCGCTGCCTTTTTGGAAACTGTGGCTCGAGGTGGACTGCTCTTTCTATGGATGATGGACTTCACAGACGGTGGTCTTTCTATGACAGGAACGTAGATGGTCTCCTCCCTCACAATCTCAACAGGAGTTGGAGGCAAAACTGGTAGAGAG